GATGTGATTCTAGGTCAGCGAGAGACACCCAGCTGTCGTCTTCAGATATGCGATCGCGCCAGCGGACGAGGAAATCAACCATCCGACAGTTCAGCTGCGTTGTGACTCGATGGCCGAGGATTTTCAAGGGCTCGGTCGTCGGTTCCCTGCAAAGGCGTTAGTTGCGGTACACCGCGGTTGCGTGCCAAGCAGGCCTCTGGATAGGATTCGAAGTACTTTTTTTGTAAGGGTACTCGCTTGCTGCCTTTTTTTGTAAGGGTATTTTTTTTTTAGCTACTTTGTAATATAAGGGTCCTAAAATATTTTGTACTTTTTCACATAAGGGTATAACTCCAGCGCAGCCTTACGCTTTACTGTAGTTACAGGATCTCGCATGATCAGACGACTGACGTGTTGTAGATACGTAGATGTGACGACGTGCTTGGGGGCACTCGACAGGGTGAACCAAGATTTTTGGTTGTTAGTGCTGAAGTGGAGGGAATGTCGCACCTCGGTAATTTTGCTCTTAGTGCGTATTTCTACATTAGAGCGTTCAGTACCAGGGAAGCAAACTTCGCGAAGTACCAAATCAAACCGAACAGGAATTCGCGTTTTGACCCTCGGACCTCACTGTTTCGCGTTTCAGAGTCCATTTCGGGTTTGCTGGTACTGATTACTATCTTGTAGAAATACGACCTCATTCCCAAGACCCTTCCTGGTCTCGACCTGATTTCCCGTTAGTGCCCACTCGGTTTTTTCTTTTCTTTCTTTCTTTAATTTCTTTTAACGAATGTAGTGGCGGATACGACTCACCACACACGAATTATACATTCAAGATGACAGGTTTTAACTGTGCGCATGAATTCCTGGGTGAGTGGCAGCCATAAAAAGCGTAAACCATTAGCAGAAGAAATTGACGACGTGATCCCCGTCGTGCGCGGGCAGGGGCCAGGTAAAAACCTGTAAATTCAAGTCGCCGATATTTCGTAGGCGCGACATTCTCGCCGAATGGGTAGGGGGAAAAGATGGTTTGACATATCACGTCAAGGGCTTTCTTTTCGTTTCAAGGCTACCCTGTAATTTCAAGGTAGTTTCAGGGCTTTCTTTTCGTTTCAGGACTGTCTCTCTTAGTGGGGACTTAGCCGAATCCTCTGGGTTGCAGTAGCTTTGTCTCTGCCAGTGGGGGACTTCACCAATTTTTCGGGTCGCTCGAGGGCTGTGGGAGGAATGCCTTTGGCAGTGGGGGACTTAGCCGAAATCTTGGGTTGCGGGGGGTATAGGAGGAATACAGCGACGGAAAGTATTGCCCGGATAAAGTCCAATTTTAGGTTCAACACATGATTTGAATGCTTTCATCCGATGTATCGTTGAATGTTCATTGCTGACTAATAAGTTACGCGTGCCAGTTACAATAGGGTAACACGTTTGCAACCTGAATGGGTCGCACTAATAGCGTGGACAAGATTTCAGTCGCGTGAGTGCATCCGGACAGTTTGGCCAAGCAGCGGACTAGATCCGTTTTCGACTAGCGCATTCTCTCCATAGTTCCTAACGCAATCGTCGAGTAGTCAGAATAGAGTTTTATACCCGAGACGTAGACTACGCCAAGATGAGACCGATAGATGAGGCTCGTCGCGCCCGGATCGTGGCCCTGTTGCGTAGGGGGTTCAGCACGAGGCAAATCGCGAAACATGTTGGCGTTGGGAAAAGTACAGTACATGATGTCGGGCTCAAGGCGATTTCAGAGACTAGTCCCGAGGACGTACGTTCTACAATGCCCACTGCTGGTCGTCCACGCGTACTGTCGAGTAGAATTCGTCGTGGGATCGTCAGGGCGATCACTAGCGGCGAGGCGAAAACCTCGAGGCATGCGGCCCAAATCGTCGAATCCCAGCACGGCATCACGGTGCATCCTAGGACGGTGCGTAATGCGCTCAAATCCAGCGGCCTTATCGCAGTTCAGCAGCCTAAGAAGCCGCGACTCTCCAAGAAAAATATCCGCGATAGGCTGGCGTTCGCACGGGCCCACGCGGATTGGACCATAGATGATTGGCGACGGGTCATATGGTCGGATGAGACGAGGATTAGTAGGTTCGGCTCTGACGGCCGCGCGTACGCCTGGGTTCGTGAAGGTACGACTCTCCAACACCACCAGATCAAGCAAACCGTCAAACACGGGGGCGGCGGCTTGATGATCTGGGGATGTATGACGTTTGAGGGGGCGGGTTTCATGTGCAAAATCGATGGTCGGATGGACGGGCCGCTGTATCTGAGCATTTTGCAAGACGAGCTGAAAAAAAACCATCAACTTTTACAAGCAAACCCCCTCGGCTGTGATCTTCCAGCATGATAAACGACCCCAATCATAAGTCCCGTGTGGTGCAGCAGTGGCTTCAGGAGCAGGAGTATGGGGTCCTGGAGTGGCCGGCAGGAAGTCCTGATCTAAACCCCATTGAGCATCTGTGGGCACATCTTAAAAGGGAGCTGGGAAAGCATGAGACACCTCCCACTGGTATGGTGGACCTGTGGGAGCGTGTACAAGAGGAGTGGGAGAAGATCCCAGCAGAGGTGTGCTCCAATTTGATCGACAGCATGCCCAGGAGGGTGAAAGCAGTGATTAGGGCTAAAGGGCGGTGGACCAGGTTCTAGTTTAAGGGTTTTTCAAGTTGCTGCTTCCGCCTGGAAATAATTGTCCACATGCACCGTGTTTGGTTATGTTTGCTATTTACTGTTAACGATAGTAGTTTCATCAAATGTGTAGCATTTTTATGTCTCCCTAGATTGGCCTGCATATAGTGGGTAATGCCTCCAATTAAGCTTAATGTTCAAATGCCCTTTAACGGTGGAAATTCAAAAAATTGCCAAACATGTGGACAATTCTTTCCGTCAGTGTAACTCTCGGATTGGGGGGGGACTTAGCCGAAATCTACAGGTTTGCCAAGGGGATCAATAATTACAGCGGGGGATCGCATGTGTGATTGTGTAAGGGTGATTTTACACAACACTTTTCCGCATCAGGGTGCTAACGCTGCACCACTTTTCAAAATCAGGGTCCGGTACAAATTTAGTTTTTTTCATAAGGGTCCAAAACTAAACCACTTTTAAATATAAGGTCCAACACCAACCCCAGCCTTATAGTAAGGGCCGTAAGGGTATTTTACCATGATATCCTGAGGCCTGGTGCCAAGTCCAACGGACTCGTGACGTAGGGTCGGAGAAGACTGACGTGGAAAGCCGGATGGTGGCGCCAATCAGCCGGTAGTCAAAGGTGAACAGTGACAGGTGTCACGAGGTTGGTCACTTGAAAAGGTCCGCAGAATCTGGGTCGAAGTTTGCTCGGGATCGGCAGCCGCGGATTGCGGGTGTCGAGGAGGACTAGATCTCCCACTTTGTAAGTGACGTCACGGCGATGACGATCGGCTTGTCGGCTTGCAACCAGGTTGGCTTTTTCGGATGGCTTCAACTGCTTTTTCTCAAGCGGCGAGAATTGTCACAAGACTAGCTTAGCTAGGAAGCCATAGAATGGCACAAGGTTTAGCTGGGAGCTAGGAGGAGCCATGAGAATGGCGTGAGGTTTTAGGTGCTAGGAAAGTTGAGGAGAGAAAAAGGGGTTGGGAATAGACGAGAGAGGGATACAAGGAGGGGTGTACCTCTACAGTAAAGTTCAGTAACCTACCAAGCCTAACAATTATATAACACAATATATAATTTTAACAAGAATGTCTTCAGCAAATTTCTGGGACCAGGGCACGGGTGACTCGATTGTCGTTGTAGAGGGTACGACTGGGTCCTGTCCGTAGTTGAGGAAGAATGGAGATTGGTTGGTTGTGGCTGAGGTCGCGTTATTATACCCGAATTCGAACAGCGGAAGGGATTTCTCCCATGTCGATGGGTCAGTACAGGTAGTACGAATCAGTTGCTCCATGGTCTGGTTGACGCGTTCGGTCTGCCCGTCGTCTGTGGGTGGTAGGCGGATGAAAATTGGAGTTTGGTGCCGAATTGGTCCCATAGGTGGCGCCAAAAATTCGATGTGAATTTCGGGTCTCGATCTGAAATGATGGCGGAGGGTAGTCCGTGCAGTCGGATGACGTTCGTGAGGAACAGTTGCGCGGTTTGTTCGGCGTGATTGTCTGTTGGCAGGTGATGAAGTGCGCCATTTTCGTGAGTCGGTCAACGACCACGAGGATGGCATCGTTTCCGCTGGGACCGGCCGGTAGTCCTGTCACGTAGTCCATCGTGACTTGTTGCCAGGGTCGCTCGGGCGGATCCAACGGCTGTAGTAGTCCGGCTGCGCGCGCTGCGACGATTTTTAATATGGCAGGCAGTGTAGGAGGACACGTACTTGCGCACGTCGTCGGCCATCTTCGTGGTTTTGTCGACGCCGAAATGTCATGAGGTAGGGTTGTCGTGGGATTCCTGGATAAGGAGGGTACGAAGTAGATTGTAGCCTGGCACCCAAATGCGATAAGTACAGCGCTTATGAAAATATGGCCCGGTGGCTGTGGTATGCTGTTGATGGATGACTGAGCGGAAAAAGTGATCGATCTTGTAGCCGTGGGTGAATAGTCCCGTAAGTAATGGGTTGGTCTGGGCGATTAGTATCACGGCGGTATGGACAGTAGGCGGGTCAAGGCATCGGCGATATTAGTGGCACCCCGTTTGTAGGTGATGGTGTAGTGGAAGTTGGACTCGAGGAAATCGAGCGATCGGATCTGTCGCGGGTTGAGGTTCGGTTGGGCGCGCAGATACTGTAAGGATTTGTGGTCCGTCCGCACCGTGACATCAGCTCCGGTCAGGTAGCACCGCCAGGTCTTGAACGCGTGGACGATCGCCAACATTTCCTTGTCGTGTACTGTATAATTCTTTTCTGCGCCATGCAGCTTCCGTGATTCGTAGGCAACTGGTTGTAACCCGTCGCCAAAGTCCTGGAGGAGAACTGCACCGATGGCGATGTCGCTGGCGTCGGTGACGACTTCGTATGGACGGTCGAGATCGGAGATGTGAAGTACGGGTGGCGACGTGAGGGCGATTTTGAGTTGGTCGAATGCATTTTGCTGCTTCTCTCCCCACCAAAAACAGTCGTGATCCTTCAGTCGGTCAGTTAGTGGAGCAGATAACCCAGCCATATTGGGGATGAAGCGGCGGACGTAGTTGACGAAACCCAGAAAACTCTGCAGTTCTTGAGGTTGGTCGGCGGCTTCCATTCCTGTATAGTCTTGATTTTCTTGGGGTCGATTTCACTCCTTCGGTAGAGACGACGTGGCCCAAAAACTCCAACTCTTGCTTAAGAAAATCGCACTTAGATCCTTTCGTGATGAGGCGATTCTTGTGCAGCAGCGTGAAGACTGCATCAAGATCCTTTAAGTGCTGCTCCCTGTTGCGGCTGTAGATTAGGATGTCGTCGAGGTAGATAATTACGCATTTATCCAGGAGTTCGCGGAAAACACCGTTCATGGTCATCTGAAAAGTCGAGGGCGCGTTCGTGAGGCCAAAGGGCATCACCAGGTATTCGTAACTGCCGTAGCGGGTTCGGAAAGCGGTTTTGTGACAATTGTCGGCGGCGACGCGAATTTGATGGTAACCTCCTCGCAGGTCGATTTTCGAGAAGAACTTGGCTCCGCGAAGTTGGTCGAGGAGATCGTCGGCTCGCGGGATCGGGTAACGGGACTTGATGGTGATCCGGTTGAGCGCGCGGTAGTCGATGCACATGCGGAATCCTCCATCTTTTTTCGGTGTGAACAGTATCGGGGCGGCGTATGGGGACGTGCTGGGTCGGATAAAGCCTTTCGACAGGAGGTAATCTAATTGCTGCTGCAATTCTTCGAGTTCCGGTTGGCTGAGCCGAAATTGTTGCTGTACTGTCGGTTGTGCGCCTGGTTCCAGCTCGATGCGATGGTCTTCGGGTCGGCTCGGCGGAAGTCCGGCGGGTAGGTCGTCCGGGAAAATCTCGGGGTATTTTCGAATGAGCTCTGCTAAATCCGGAGGAACGGCTTCACACAGTTTCGTGATATCTTCCGCTGTTATCGGCGACGTCACTTCGCGAAGATCGACGGCGTATGCTGCTGCTCCCACTTTTATCGCGCGCTTGAAGGTGATCGCGTGGACTTGGGTACTGCGCATGCGGGGTCCTGTCCATTTCGGTAACTCGTGATAGTGCCCCTCGATTTTGATGCTGCAGCTGCCCATCGTCCAGTCGATTCTCGGGTTGTACTGTCGCAGCCAATCCCGTCCCAGCAGCACGTCACACTCGTCGAGTGTAGTCGCCAGTAGCCCCATCCGAAATTTTACGTGCTCGCCGCAGTGGAAACTGACGTGCTCCACCCGCTCCCGTATAGCCAGCGATGTTCCATCCACCAATCTCGCGTCAATTTCGGGTAGGCACTTTAATAAGGGGATACCCATTTTCTTAGCTCTGTCCAGCTGTATGAGACTGTGACTCGCGCCTCCATCCACGAATATTTTCAGCAACACCCCGTTGACTTACCCTCCACCAACACATGGTGATCAGCAGTTTCGTCCCCCTTATTCGTCCGGTCCGGTCGATTGCAGCGATCGGGATCACGACCTGGTGGGGACTGTGTGGTTCGGGCGAAGAAGCCTGTGTGTCAGTAAGGGGCCCGGTACTTACTGGCGCGACCATTTCCCGGTCGCTCCTCCGGCTTCTTCCCCATAGAATTCTGGGTGGCTATGAACTCTTGGCAGTTGCGTTTGATGTGACCCGGTCGGCCACAGTGGTAGCATAGCCCCGTATTTTGCGGAGCAACTGCGTAAATATCCACAGCGTCCATCCCTTTTATCGTGGCGCGCTGGTACTGTTCTCGAAGGCGACCTCCGTCGTAGAAGTTCGTCCTCGGCTTCGTGAGTGAGTCAGCGGCTTCGGCGAGTTGGATGAAGTCTTGTAACCGCTTCGCAGGTCGTTGTAATTTTATTTGGTACTGTATTTCAGGCTTCAGCCCGCCCATGTACCTGTCGACCTTCTCCAACTCGTGCATGTAGCCACATCGATCCACCAACGTCAAGAATGACGCAGTGTAGTCAGACACAGATCCCAGCTGCTTCCACATGCGTAAGGTCTCGCGCGCTTTGTCTGAGTCAGGAGCATGCTCAAACTGCTTGCGAAGCTCTGCGCACCACGTTGCCCACGTGCGAATGTGAGTTGCACCAAACAGCAAAACTGCTTCGTCTTCGTCGCCGAATTCTTCGGACCACTCATGCTGTCCTTCTGTGCGAGTTGCCGCTGATTCGACGATGACCTTCCACCACTGTAGGGCGGCCCCTTGCAGTAGTGTCAACGCGTGGCTGACCCGCTTCTGGTCGTCTTGGATGCCCGCCGCGTTAAAGTAGATATTCATGGCGAATATCCACTGCCGCAGCCGTCACGCCTTTTATTAGCTGGGTCGAAAGGAGCGGGTTGCTGATATCTCACGCCGCCACTTGTCGAGCGCGGGGCTGTAGCCGCTAGCCGTGCCAGCTCCACTGGTGTCGGTTGCTGCTCACCCGCCTCGCTTCGAGCATCGTCGCCCGGCTCTTCTAAACACCTTTCCTGCGTGTGGCGAAGTCCTTGGTTTTCGTCATGGAGGTTGTTGACGACGCTTGTCAAAATGTTCAACTGCTCCATTAATGCTTGCAGGTCTACTGTTTCCCGGGTAGAGTTCGCAGCAGTCGAGGTTGTCTGTTCCTCAACCGTCGAGTCTACCGGGGCCATGGCGGTCAGGACGGGGCAGAAACTAGCGCACACGCTGTAGTTGTTGACGTAAAAATATTTACGATCAAAGGCAACTGCTGTGCAGCCGTGTTAATCCCCTCTGAGCACCCTTAACTAACTAACGGGATAACGGAAGGTTCAGAGAAAGGTCGGGCTCTGATACCAGCTGTTATGATTTAGAAGATGTCAATGAACTATAACGCGAGAATTCAAGGTCGCTATTGCAATGAAAGCACGAGGTTATATAGGAGTAGACGTAATAGGGCGATAACCTCGGGACGTGGGTAGGTTCGGCAATGTGGCGAAGCTGTTGGACGCGACTCGAGAAAGGGTTGGGTCGAAAATGTAGGCCGAACGTGACGAGTCGAAGTGTTCGGGTGTACGCGGTAGCGAGCGACTTAGTAAGGAATGGAAATTCCTTACATGTCCTGTTCGGGCATGTATTATGGCTACACACGTAAAATTGGTAACTGAATTCGGTGTTGAACAGGGCACGTACTTTATTGATACGCCCTGACAAGCAGCAATGTTGTAGTGGCATGTTAGTGGAAAGCGGGATGAGTAGTGGCTGAATAACTTGCATCGCGTACGCAGAAAAGTGTTCACGATGGAAGTCAAGTCTCGTATCGGAGTAGCTAGAAACGCAGTTTTCAGTTTCGGTGTTACGCGGAAGACAACTTCTTTTTGCAGGCAGTGCTCCGCACAGCTGGACAAGTTTCTCCTGCCCGACGAATGAAACCGAGGGTGACTTCACTTTTGCGAGTTGCACTGACCAATCACATGCTCCCTGCTGACACAGCCTTGGGATTCGCTGGCCAATTCCAGACCTGTTTCCTGTCCAGCAGTGTTGCGTGCCAGCCTTCCCTGCCCAGGCCAGCTGTTCCACGTGACATGGTCGGCGAACACGACCCGCGTGAGGGATACAAGGACAGGTGCGAATGATCCAGGAAAGGCGAGCAAGGACGAGCTGGGAAAAGCGACTACTGGTAATGATCGGAGGGCCACGAGCAGGATTTCGTAATTAGGATGGTAATGACTGAAGACTGCGGTAAGGAAAATTATTTGCAGTTGACTAGTAGCTAAATTGTGGCTTAGGTGATCGTATCGGCCGTTGTTTCAGCCACTATTTCCAGGAAAGTGTAGTTTCCAGGGGGCTGTGTCTCGTGGAGGTCGTGAGACCCGAAGAAGCACGATTACCATGGTGTGCTGGTAGCATTTAGCCCTGTTTCCTGTACATATTTAGAACTGTATTACTTGTATAGTCTTCCAGGTGATTTGTATAGCAAGAAATGGCTCAGTTGCTTCTGGCTCGGCTGTTAGATTGGGGAAATCCTAGAGACGATGGATCAACGTGGTGGTCAGAGAGACGAGACGACGATGATGCAGAAACATCCTCCGACGACCTGTCTGAAGATTTCAACGAACCGCCGGAACTTCCGGAGGATGTTCTTATTAATTGCTTCCAACACCTTCGCTCGTATCATGACATTGCAAGGCAAGTTGTCCTCATTTCTCGCCCATTCCGCAAAATTTTGTCCCAGGTTTCACGGCATTTTGTCTCGTTTCTCGCACGACTCATTTGACATTCTTCTAGATTGGATTTTCTTATTCTCTGTGCGCCCTTCGCCTGCTGCAGTGCCGCCAGGGTTTCGAGATCATGGCACAGTGCAGCGGTGCGATTGTGGGGGCATCGCCAACGCCTGACCTTCGCCAAGTGCCGTAACCCGGAGATTGCCTTGCCATCGATCATTCCCATGGCCTGCGTCGTCACCGACATTGACCTGTACGTGCATCCTTATCTCGACATCAATCCATGTTGACCCTTCTGTTACTCTACTGGCGTTCTGCCTGGCATTTCCACAGTTCCAATATGGAAGGTTATGGGTCGCATTGTGCTTCTTTCACGCGCATGCTGTGGCTTTTCCTTGTGCAGGTGTGGGTGCCGATTGTCAGATGCATCACTGGAGGCTGCCAGCATGGCTACTCCTGTCTGCCAGCTTCAATCATTGTCCCTGTGGGGTGTGAAGGGTGTCTCTGACGCTGGCATCTGTCGACTGGTGAGTCTCTTGCTATGGTTTTCCGCGTTGCAGATGCGATTGAAAGTTATCACAGCCTACTAATTGTCGTTCTTACAAGGCTTGCAAGTGAGGTATGTCAGCTGAAACACTTGTACAAAGTACAATGCAGGCTGTACAAAGTTTATGGTAATTCCCCTTGAATCTGCTTCCACTCATGCAGGTGATGAAGTGCAAGAGCCTCAAGCATCTCAACTTGGGAGGGACCTGTGTCACATCATCTTCAATCTTTACCATTGCCCGTTCGTGCCCTTCGCTGGAGGTTGGTACTCTTGGGCCCTAATCAAGGGTTATTCTTGCTCTCTTTAGCAATGCCGTCATTTTCCAATACTTCAGCTACGTCACACATTCATGAGCATGATTTCGTCTCCACCCCGCGCTTGTTGCAGATTTTGAATCTTTGGGGATGTCGTAAAGTGACAGATAAAGGAATTCTCGCAGTGGTTGCGGGATGCATGCATCTGAGAGAACTCAACTTGTGGGGTGTGCCGCTATCTTTTCATTGCCTTGCATACCTCATGTCTCGCTGCCCAGATCTTGAGATCAAGCCTACGCCAGGGGTTGGATCTGGTTTCCCTGCGTATGGCATTGTGAGGCAAGCAGCGTGACCTAACAATTGCCCTTATACGATAGTGAGAGCCTTGAGCTCTTGTAAACCAATGTTGTCTACTAGTATGAGAAACATTGAAGCATATGGCTTTCATATATTGTGAATACTACGTTACTCAATGGGTAGTCCTCGTTCGTCAGCCATTTCGTCAGACCTTTGGCGCCTGAGTCCTCCTGACCGAAGGGTCCCTGAGTCCTGGCCCAACGGCGTGGTAGCCGTTGGCGCTGTGTCAGAAACTAGCTTAGCTAGGAAGCCATAGAATGGCACAAGGTTTAGCTAGGAGCTAGGAGGAGCCATGAGAATGGCGAGAGGTTTTAGGTGCTAGGAAAGTTGAGGAGAGAAAAGGTTGGATTAGAAGAGAGGGGAGTACAAGGAGGGTTTGTACCCCCTACAGAAAGGTTCAGTAACAACCTACCAAGCCTATATTAAATTATACTTATATAATTTGAACACACCCCCTAGGCTTGGTAGTCACATGCCCACACACACACCACACCCCCTAACCTAGCACCCCCATTCCAGCCACAGTGACAGCGACTCTAGGTCGGTCGACCCACGGCGCGTGAGGCGGCGACGTCGACCGCAGGGGCTGCGGCGGCGACGGCGGCAGCGGCGGCAGTGTCGACAGCGGCAGCGGCGGCGGCGTGCGCTGCGTGGCCCCGACGCAAGCGGCGACAGCGGCGGCGGCGGCGGCTTCGACAACAGCGGCAGCGGCGGCGGCACCCGCACCTCTCGGTGAC